TCTGTTGTACCTACAGAAAAGGATCGTAATGGAAATACTAAATCTTTAGTAATTCTTGATACTCAATGGTAATATCAGGTTGGATAGGAGCCTTTAATAAAAGGAGAATTTAAGGCTATATATAATGGAAAGACTATTATAATTCCCCTATCAGTTCACAAATCTTAACGTAATGTCTATACTGTAGGAAAGGAGCTACCAAAAGAGGCGCAGGATCAAGTATCCACCAATTCTTCTAGTCTAATTGGTGAGAAAGACTTAAAAAAAATGCATAAATTATATGAATTCTGAAGGTATGGCAATCCGTATGAAAGAGCTTGAAAAGGCATTATTTTCTAGCATTCAATCAAATTTGGAAATTATAGAATACTATAATAGTTTACACAGTCAGATTGAATAGGATGAATAACTATTTGAAAATAAGAGATGACCTCTTGCTTTAATTTTTTCTAAAGTATTATCAGTTCTCTTATACAAATCTAAAACATCTTTAGATATTGCTTGACTCTCTTAGAATTGTTTCTTCCCTCTAATCTTTTTCTTCTTGCTATCGGAAATGGTATTATATTCTAGCGAAGCATTTTCCAATACATTATCCTGAGGCAAAGAAGTAATATTAGGATTACCTAGGCTTTAGTTATTTGACCCACCTTGTTGGAAACGATTAGGTTGCCCCATTGCAAATCTACGCCAAATCTCATAAACTCGTCAGGTAGAAATGTGATATTTTTTTGCCATTACTGTTACAGCATTTTTAACTTTTCCACGAGAATTGTAAATTTCCTCAAGAACTTTAGGTGATAAATAGGTGGCACCTGCACGGTAATATTTCTTGAATAGATATTCCATTTATTGATAATTATCAAACAAAAAATAACTGATAAAAATCAGAATTTATCAATTATTATCCAAGTATTGTAATCAATGATTATTAAACATTATTGAATTTCTTTAATAATTTCTAAAAAAGACCAGATTTTATTAATATTTTTTAACAAATATGGATATATGAAATCTTTCAAAAATTATCATCCATAAAAAATAAAGTGCTTTCAGACTGCGTAGTCTCAAAATTTTGATCATATTTTTTAGTATACTAATGACTAAATCAAAAAATATGCCTAATGTACATACTTTAAGAGATATTAAGAATAAAGGGGTAGTTGAGGGTTCACTAAGTAAACACACTCCCTTAAGCCATCAGCTTAGTAGTATCTGTGAATCAGAACTTGAGAAAGTATTGCGCAGTAGCATCAAAACTACTTCTAATATTGCTAATGATTATAAAGACTTGCAGGATATATATTTAGAGCAAGTGAAGGATTTTAATCGTATCTGTTCAGATTTTAACAATAAGTTTAGTCAGCTGAATACAGCTAATAGTGAGCTTAAAGTTAAATATACCACTGAAATCAAATCGCTCAAATCTTCTATTAAAACACTAAAAAGAGAGCTAACTTTAGCTCAGAAAGCTTCGTCTGCTAACAAGGTCAAGATTCTCTCTCTTGAAGCTAAAGTACAAGAATTGAAAGGTAAGTTGAATGACTTGAAACTAGAATAGTATTTCATGATTCGAATGCAGTGAGAGGAATGGTAGAAGAGCCAGCCTAAATAAACTTATCTGACCCTAAAGAGATCAATTCTCTCAGACTTGAATTGGAACATGTAAAGGAGAATCTAGATTCAAAAAATTATGAAATAAAATGTATAGAAAAAGGGATAAAATCATCAGATAACATATACAAATGGGAGCTGGATATTCAGTCTTCAGAATGATTAAAATTGATAGAGAAAAATAGGTTCCTTAGAGATCAGTTAGCGTTAAAGAAAGAGCCAAGAGGCACTTCGCATAATGAAGTAGATCCTCTACTCCTGCTTATGAATAATTTATTGCAATATAGTTCTGAAGGGATCATTTCCGTTCTTAATCCTTCACCTTCTCAAATATTTTCTGTAGGTGATGCAAAAGCAGTATCTTTATTAGCAACTGCTCCTATCATCACAAGCTCCTTGATGTCACCTATGTTAATATATTCTATACTTACCCTAGTACTTATTGTGATTATATGGCTCATAGCCAGAAAATGTTAGAATTCGTGAAAAAAAAGTAACCAATTTTTTATCTACAGAAATTATATAAATAGGGACCATGCAAAGCGCCTCTTGGTCAGACCAAATCATTATTATTTTCAATCCTAATCGACTACTGTATAAGTACTAGTGCAAGTAGATCTTCTTTGAATCCTTTTTTTAATGTGAGCTAATATGAATCAGTTTCACCAGAACCATCTATTTCAAATTATATGCTTGTATAATGTAGTATTAGTATATTAATATTCAAAAGAAACAAATCACATGTTTTCTGAGACCATCGGTCCTGCAAATTTGCCAAGAAAAAATACAGATGAATGTATAAAAATAATTAGCCATCAGGACACTTTATTGATATAGGAAAAGTAAAATATAACAATTAGATTATTTTTTCGAATTTTATAGACTTTCTTTTTTCATTTTTGGTGGTGATGATGATCTTGATGAAGAAGATACTGTGAAGCTATTTTCTGTATTATTACTTAAACTAATTAGAAGTGCATAATATAGAAGAGATATATTAACATGCAAGATATTCTATAGTTATAAGTATGCGTTAATTTTAAGTAAGTGAAATATAAGAATTGCATTTTACATACCCGTATTGTCAATAAAGTCTTAACAAATTTAAACACTGTATTCCCATCTGTTGGCTGTATTAGAATTTTAACTGTACATAAATTATAAAAATAGTGTATCTCGTTTATACCTCGAATGAGGATATTTAGATGCATCTCAGTTCTGGCGATTTGGATCCCAATAATACCAAAATCATCTTTGTCCAGTTTGCATCCTTTGTGAGCCTAATACATTTCATCGTTCATCTCTCTCCAAGTTTTTACCTTATCATTTTCCTTTTTTTGTTCATTACAAATGATATGAGAACTTTCACCATAAATTAATTCATATGACCTATTATTACAACTAGCGATAAACATAACATCTGGTCATTTTTCAACTCCTCTTTAATCTTTGTTGGCTATACTTTGATGCTCGGCTGTGAAAATATAACTAGATTTTCCAATTAGAAAATCTTTTAATAATACTCAAATCATTAGAACTATTACATTAGTCATATATGTCCCTTCACTTTATGACTTAACCAGCTTTGAACTGAAGGTGGGATTTTTCCAAATATCTTTTTTATAAAGAATAATGTTAAACGTAATTTTAAACAGAAATTTTAAGAAATAACAAATATGATTGTTAAGATTCTTATTGCTGAAATACTCATAAGATATCGAGTATTTCTAATGTAACTTTTGCTAGTTTTTTGTTAGATTCTTTTCAACTTTTATCATGTAAAAGTCTGTTATTTGAAACATCTGTAATACTGTCTATGAAATTCAAAACGAAGAAATCACAATTATTTTTAACAAAGTCTGAAGCAGTTACTTTTATATACTTCATTAGATCCTATAAAATCATAATATTAATATGATATGCTTTGCTGAAAGTGGACTATGGTAATACAAAACACTATTTACTAAATTACTCATCATAAAAAAGTTATATGCATCTACTTTCAAAGTTCTCACCATTTCTGAATCTACATAAATCACTTGACTAGCAAGTAGAATGCGTCATAATAAGTCTGAAGCACTTTTCTTCTTTAAATATTTACAGAAGTGATAAGCATACAGAGTCTTGCTATTTTTAAGATTGGTTTTAACACATGCAAGTTTGTCTCAATTTCGTTCTTAGTAAGCGGTTCTTTCTGTTTTGATTCTTTGATACTCTGAAGACTACTTACACCTTTGTATGTATCATTAAACTAGCGTAAAAATCTTATATTAGTACTAATGTAGTTAATCTTTTGATATTAGAATTATGTGCGTATATCCATCAACATATTCCAAATAAATCATCAACTATATGTGACCTACATACAATTGACAATGTACATGAATGCTATATTTTTTTTCTTCATAAACCATAACTAAGATCTACTCCTGTGTGTCTAAAGAATTAATGTGTACGATTAAATCTGTACTTACATGACTATGAATACTCACTTAATCTGATTATAAAAATATCATTCTGCACAATCATCATCTGAGATTATAAATCTGATAAATAATAGTAATAATCACTAACCTTTAAGGGAATATCAACGAATTTTAGATATTTTTCTGAAATCTGATTATAATTCTTTTTCACTACTATAATTGCCTGATGAATTATTTTCTTAATTTATCTTTTGAATACCACGTATCATCTTCTATTAGTTAAAAAATAACAGAAAATGCGGTAATATGATCTGAGAGTAAATCAAGTAAAAAATTATAAATATTTTTATATAATGCAGAAGAAGACATAATAACGAAAAAATATGGTGTTAGAATTTCGCTGAAAAAAAATAATAAGTGATAAATAACTCGAATTCAATACACTTGCCTTTTTAAATCTCTAATGACTTCTTCATTCATGTCCTCTCTAACTTACATTCATGTTTGGGAAAGAGATAGGAGAAATATGCAAGGCACTTTATACCTGTATTAGAGAATAAGAACATGCATAATATGCATTAAAGATCTCAACATTTACAAAGGCGCTGGAGGTATGCATATACATACTTATTTTTTCTTTATTTCACTTGCCTGACCGCTCAGTAATAAAGGCCTAGTAACATTATATAAATATACTCTGGTCAAAATCTAGTAGGAATAGCCTCTAGCATCAGAGAAAATAAACTCATAAATAAATGCTATTCAGATTAGAGCCTACGGATTCGTACATTTGCATAATTTCGCATTTATGCACTATAATTTTGCATCACATATGCATTGCACTTTTAAGGCAATTTATCGGTTTTTTGCATTTTTCACGTGATATATTATGTATTGACCATTTAAAGAATAAATATTAATTGATTGATCATCATGATTATCTATATCTTTTTTTTCAAAATGATTTTGGTATCAGAGAGATTATCAAAAAATTCTCAATTTAAAATTCATTTTCATTTAGAAAATAAAAAATTATATTATAAATTTTATAATCATGTAATTAATCATGAACGTAAGTCTGTTATCGAAGCTCATATAAATTCACTAACTCATTTAAAAAAAAAAAGAGAAGTTGATGAGGGTACTGAAGCTTTACAAACAACTATTCCAAATATTTATTAAATTAGATCAGAAAAACAAGAAATAAATTTACATCTTGTTGAAGCATTCACTAAAGCTGATATCCCACTTGAAAAGATTGATAAACTTAAACCTTTTTTTATAAAATATTGTAATAATGGTAAGATTTTTTATCTATATTTTATATTTATAATTTTTTTTTGTTTTAAATATTTATATTAACATCAAAAGTTAAAATTAAAGGTAGAGCTGTTGTTAATGCAAATCATCTACATAAAAGATATCTTCCAGCTGTTTTTGAATCAGCAAAAAATATGTTAATAAATGAATTAGCTAATCAAAGAATTTCTGTAACTATGGATGAAACAACAGATAGTTGTTGAAGAAGTATTCTTAATGTATTATTTAGTTATCAAAATAAACTAAATTAGTAAATACCCTTTTTTTAGAAACTGTTAACAATACAACAATTGCATAAGCTTTTGTTAATACTATTTATTCTTACAATATTCCTTTTACTAATTTAATATTTTTTATTAGTGATAATGCATCATATATGAAAAAAGCTTATACCAATATCTTATTTCCATTAATACCACACTTATTTCATAACACATGTTTTGCTTATATTTATAATCTTGTTGATTAAACTTGGGTAGATTTTAAACACTTTAAATTATTAGATGTTGTAGTTAAACATATTAAAACATTATTTGTATACTCAGCAACAAGAAAAAGAAGATGGAGAGAACATTTAATTTCAAAATCTATTCTTTTAAATATAAATAAAAGTCTATTTGATAAAGAAAGCACACAAGATTTATTTGTTAATTTACCTCCTTTACCTATCAAGACTAGATGGAATTCTTGGTTTAAATTTTTAATTTGGATGAAAAATTATTATCAACATATGGTTACATTTTTTATTGAAGAATCTGTAGAAAAAAATTCTAATGCTATTAAAGAATTAAAAGAGATTTTTCAAAATCAAAGTCAAAGTTTTTATATAGATATTTTAATCAAATTTATTTCATTTAATGCACAAAGGTAAATATTAAAAATATTTTTTATTATTTTATTATTAATAAAATATAAAAATTAAAGTTTTAATATTTTTTAGATTAGTATTAGATCTTGAATTTTTTAAAATAAGAAATTTGATTGTTGCTCCTTTTGTTTTTTCAAGAATTGAACAAACAAGAGCATTTTTGCGAAATAGAATAAATAACCCACCAATTAGTGTAGAAATAACACAACTATTATTTCAGAATTATCAAAATTATGAATATCTTAATCCAATTTTTTCTGAAGCTTTTAAATTAGTATTAAAAAAATTTGAAAAACATATAGATTCTCATTCTGCTTTACCATTATTCAATACAATTCAATATTTTAACCCTCAATTTATTTAATCATCTCAAAATAGACATATTTTAACTAATTATAATCTAATTCCAGAATTTCAAAATCCTTCTAATTCTATTATAACTGAATGGGCAATTTATTGTGGTTTGGTAGAAATTTTTGAGGAGGGTGATTTGAATTTAAATCAATATTGGCAAGAAAAAAAAAGAATTTTTCCAAATTTATCAAGTATTGCATTAGTTTATATATGGTTACCTATTTCAGGAGTTGATGTTGAACGTAGTTTTTCTAATTATAAAAGAATTTTAGATGATAGACGTAGATCACTTTCAGAAAATTCTATTGAAATGTTAAATTTTTTATATTATAATAACCAATAAAATAATAAAGTATATTTTTACTATATAAAAAATTTTATTTGCATATTTTGCATTTTTGGTAATATTAAAATGCATATTTTTTATTTTTGCATTACACGAAACTGTGGGCTCTAATTCAGATAGATAGGGAAAAAATTTGAAATATTTTGGGGACTTTGTCATATAAGCATAGTTTCACAGATGATTTTCAAAGTATTACTATTACATCATATATACTTTAATGAGAATCGAAAATGTGCTAATTTATGTTGTATATGCCTATATGCAGTATTATCATGAGACATTGATGGACACTGATGGGATGCTGATGGAATATAGATGGGATAGATAGGACATAGTGTGGGACAGGTTGGGACATATAGCTGAGATATATAGCTGGGACAACAAATCTCTAGGACATTACTGCCTATATGCATTAGCCTGAATAATATATTATTTTATTAATATGATATTTAGGATCTTTCTCGAAAAATACTTTATTAAAATTGTTATATAGTATATTAGAGAATCTAATCCCACAGATCATGCATAACGTCTTTGACTAATTTCACTAAGCGATCATCCATCATATAGTGCAAAAAATAAATTATATTAGTTAACCAGTTAAAAAATCGTGATTTTTATTCCATCTTTCAATTTTAATGTAATACCTTTTGGCTGATTAAGATGGTTTAAGTTATTTTATTTTGCGTATTTAGATGAAATAAATATTTCACTTGTATTGCTTCATTAATTTGATAATTGATAAGAAGTTAGTGAAATATTTTCTTGCCTAGCAGGTGAAATACAAGCTGGCTCAAAATTTGGAGCACTCAGCATAGTATTTTTTCCTACATTTGCAGTTTTGGCCTTAAAGCAAAAGAAATTTCAATAATTTTTTATTAAATCTTCGAACTCAACTTCATAGGTCCATCTTCTCTAGCCATTATAATATTCCTTTCTAGGCTCTATTTTAGTAATCTTTACCAATTTCTAGCATTTGAAGCAAATAGCCATTTGGCTCTTATGGACACTAAGCGTACGATATCTGAAGTGATCTTCAAATAACTCACCATTAATATAAAATGTTTTGAATTCTAATTATACAAAGAAAGCGAAGAGGCAATATATATGATATAAACTATATCCTTGCTTAGAAAGTAGTAGTTCTTGCAGAGGATCTCTTACACAATTAGCCTATTGTTAGAGCATAAGGTCTAATAATAGACAAATAATCGTATTGCTTTTCTATTTTGACCACTTTTTTGTACTGATAGTTATTGAGGACGACAGTTGAAAAGTTTAGATATAGTTTTATTATAAACTCTGTCTATAATGATTTTAACCATTAGTCCAAGCATATTTGATAATTATATGTATTATACACAATAAGTAAGACATAACAATTTAGTGATTTATAGCATTTAGTGAATATTTAGCGTTATAGCATTTTGTAGCAAGTATATTATAATAAATATCAGGTTCATTTTATTTGATTACAAGAATATTGAGGGTTTATATAAGGTTTACATCTGGCTATATGCATATTCACATGCATATAAGGGATTTTCCAATAGCATAATTCAGTTAAATTAGTTCTGAGATAATATAACGGCTAAAAATTCGTATTACATAAGATTTCTCTCAGATGTGTAAGACAATTTAGTCAAAAAAAAATTTAGGTTTAATTTAGCCGATACATGTTGATCGAATTGCGTAGAATCATATACATGCAGATGATAATCATATTTGTGTGATATCTGATATTTTGGTTAGATTACATAGTATGTGAATGGATAGTATGAATCTATGATCGAGATCATGTGTCCTAACTCTAATTGATTCTGGCAAATCATTTTTGAGAATTTTAGCAATCATATAAGGTGATACGTCTTACATTTATTTTTTTTTATTTTTTGCATAATATAGTAAATAGGTATTACTTTATTAATAATCGTATTTACAATGATATTAAAATAGCTAACTTAAGATATTTGTGAATTTCGCATAGTAAATATTAATCATATATAGCAGTCTAATAAACGGGATAACTCACACTTTTCTTTACTAAACAACTCTTTATCATCATTTTGAATTGACATTCTAAAATCGGTCAAATACACATATTTTTTTTCGTCAACAAGGATATTTTCCTTATGAATATCATTGTAAAGAATCTTATAATCATGAATTTTATCTAATGCTCTGAGAGCCCTCTTCTTTTGCTTTTTATCTATCTTATGATGATACAGTATGGTGTTAACAATACTCAACTCTATAACAAAGCTTATTCCATTTGTCAAATCCCCATAAAATAACAGTTCTGAAATATATATATCCTGAAGTTTAGTAAGAATTCTATACATTTCAACTTTATTCAGCAATTCATTCAGACAATTAGGTTTCTTTGATAAGTCTGTGCATTTTAAGACAATTGGTTTTCTATGAAATTCACATTCAAAAACCTTTTGTTTTCTCCAACACTTAATATACTCATATACTTAAAATCCCATATTCAAAACTCTGTGCTTGTTTTCCTGATGTTTTCCTAGAAGTACTGGAAAATGGTCCTTTAGAAGATGAAGATGGTCGTTGATTATGTTGTGAGTTATCAGTTTGTGGAATGATGTTAGCATGAAGGGAATTATGACCATTGTCTATTGTCTGCTGGACCAGATAGGCATAGGTTTTTAGAACTGGTAGATGTGTTGAGTTATATTTAAGAGACTCTGATATATATAGATATCTATGATCTCTCTTAACAAACCAACTATAATCATAAGTAGAAAGTGCTCCATATTTAAGTTGGTTTTCTGATAAGTAGTTATAGAGTTGCTATATGACTTGCTTCACTTTAACATCCTCTTCGTAAACTTTAGGTAACGTTTAGTCAGATTTAATGTGGTTTAAAATGTTTACTCTTTTAATTTCGATTGCCAAAATCAATTCATCATCGTCTTTTTTATAGCAAACAAAATCTGGGTCACTAGTGCCAGAAACATTTAAAAAATCTTCTCAAATCATCACTTTGTCTAGAGGATTGCTGACTGCATTTGTGAAGCTTATCGAAATAGTGTCATACAGAGAATATGCGATATATGGCGGAGCACATGATAGATATTCTTCGAGACTTAGAAGCCTTAAAAAAATGGGATGAGTTAATAAATATTAGACTAGAAAGACGTTTGTTGAACACGTGAAACATATAAATATTATACTATTATATGGTAGAACTTACTTTGATTGTTCAAACTATCAACTAACATTGCGACCCTTCTTGCTAGTCCATCAGGGAATCTGTAAGGTTCAGCACGAAGTATTTCTCTAGTTAATTGAAGGAAATCAGAACTGACGACCCTCTCATTACGAATTTTTCTATAGTCAGTATTGTTGAGGTTTAAGTTCTTTATTCGTAAATAATTTATAAGTTAGTCCGTATTATAACCTTTCACATCATCAATCAAGAGATTATTACTTATAGACATTTTTTTGTAGTGTAGTCAGAGTTTGGGTTGTATAGTTTGAGTTGTACAGTTTAAAAAAAAAGTGGGAATTTAGGAGTATATATAAGAAATCTACTGTCGCACAAATAGTCAGACGATCAATAATCACATCATTACATGAATTGACTGAATTGCAATGTATTAAAATATTAAAAATTCAAATCCAGAAATGTTGGCAAAAATTTATTCAGATACAATAATATTAATGGTAAATATAGAGTAGCAAGCGAAATATATGATGCTATAAAAGAGGGAGTACGCAGATCTTAGGCCATTTAATACAAGTTTCAGCATTAAGTTATTCTTTGATATCTTACTAATTTCTATAGCTAATTTATTTCTATTACTATAGCTACTAACTATGTAGAGTTTTTCACCGAATTACCCTATGGATAATATAGGATAATCCGTTTGAAAATTTTGAGATCCGGTTATCCTATTAAATAG